AGGTGATCTGCATACCCAGTAATCCGACGATCGAGATTCAATCTCACACGCGTAAACAGTTCAGATGCATTTCCTAATTAGGCTCAATCGGACAGATGAGATCAATCGCAATGAATGGTCTAGATTCGCCACGTAATCGGCCTAAAAAGGCAACGATCGGATGGCTCTCCTTGCTTCACGTCGACGCAAATGGACAGACCAAATCAACGCGAGATAAATATATAAACATCGCATCGCAGGGGAACCTTAACCCTAGCTGCACCTCGCCTCGCTGGATAAGAAGGACTAGCCGCTGGAGAAAGAGACTGACCCCCGGCAGTTGCCGCACCGAACCACTGTCGACCGCCAAAAAAGATAAGATTCTCCCCTACCTGCTAGAAATTTGATTTTGAGTCTCTTTGTGGTCATATCGAAACAAAAGGGATGGCGGGTGAGTCAAAAACTGCGAGCAAAATCCGACGGAGCTGCCGCAGTCGAAATGCTAAAACCCCTTCGTGAACCTCTTTTTGTTTCTTGTTTCACACAATTTTCTGACCATTGTATTTATCATCCTTTTCTGTGCAGGCTAGCCAAAAAATAAATCCCAGACGTGAAGGAGAACTGATGGTGCCGCAACACTCAGAGACACACCCCCCTCCCCCCCCCCCCCCCCGCGCGTTGGTAGGTTAGGTTTTTTGTGATTTTCTAGCCAATCAAGGTCCCATAACGTATTTTTCTAAATGAATACGTGTAAAATCGGCCTAAACCGGCCAGGCCAAGTTGAACCGCTGCCGTGTGTGGCGGAGCTGGCGCTGAACCACAGTGGCACCGTGCTAGAACCCAAAAATTAGCCAGAAAGGATTTTCAACACCGATTTTGGATTTTTTTTGGATATTTTTAGGAACGTGTTAAGTATTTTAGATTTTCGCATAAAAAATTTAGAAAACTCAAGACCCGTTAGAAGACATAATAGATAACACGGCATTTCAAAACACTTATCTAGATAAGGGTCCCTCACCCTATTCTCAGTTAAGGAAAATTGAAGATTAATAATCGATAATTGTGTATTTTATGTAAAATTAGAAAAATCCTAAAAATATTACAGTCATTAGTGGAGACAGAACTAGTTAGTTCACATCTTTCCTAATTCCTCGTTTATTTTCCTATACTACCTATATTTGCTTACTATTATCCTGGTTATTCGGTATTCTTGTTATTATTTTTTTTATGCTAAACTATATCACTTGTTTAAGTACCATTTGAATTAATATGTGAATATTAAATGAGATGTTGGTATGCTTTAGTGGTTGTTTGGATGATGAGAGTCTAAATAAATAAAAATTTACTGGACATCCCGAAAAATAGTAGACAGACCCAATACATAGGGAACCCTACTGTGGATCTTACCTCAATCGAATAAGGCTGAGAAGTCCTATATCGAAAGAGTTTTTGGAGGTATGTTTCACCCTCATACCGGACATGGTATCGAGGCAATGCTGTTTTTTGTACTCATTACCGGACGGGTTAATTATCAATTCTTGATACTGGGTTCACAAGTAGAAGAATATCCCTATAGACCCCCAAGGGTCCTAGTAAGTAGGTTAAAAATGAAGAATTGTTAATCCTATGCATGGAATTGAAATATCATTTGGTTAATTATTTTCGTAGGTTAATTTTGGAAAAAAAAAACTGTACGATAAGTATTAAATAAAAAGTTTTAAAGTTAAATGTATTTACTTAAAGCAATGGCTCTATTAGTTATTTGTCTGATTTTTACCAACCTTCGATTTTTCGTATTAGTGATTAGTGTAATATCCTTACTAGTATAGTGTAACTCATCCTTTTCATTAACTATTTCAGATCAAGAACACCAAGATCTAGATCTCGATCAATAAGAGGGTTATGAGTAGTCTATCTCTCAGACTCGCTTCAAGTGCTAGTAAATGTTACTCTATGATATTTATTTATTTGTTTCTATTTAATTATTATTTATTTTTTATGAACTATGTAGAAGAGACATTCTTGTAGTCCTATGGGACAATTTAATTTATTGTGTAAGGAATGTAAACCCTAATATTATTATTCGCTTTCGTATTTAAATTATAAATTCATTTTTTTTTTTAGTTTCGAGTCTTTTACAGTTAGTATAAGAGTCAGGTTCCATATAACCATTCATTATATAAAGAGTTAAAGATACCAAATATAAACTATCGCTTAACCCTTTATTGTGAAATATAGGTATAAGAATATGATAAGAGGAAGGCTCCCACTAAACTGAGTAGCCCAGGATTGTTTGCTTTGAAAGGATGTTGATAGACTCTTTGATATACTGGAGAAACTCATCTCTGCCCAGCAAGCCTGGGAGGAAAGAAGGGAGCTACTTAATCCTCCCCCGCTGTCACAAATTTGAGCCACCCCTGTAGTAGGAAGATTCGGAGCTACCTCAGTACAATCCTGCTTCTCCATCGTATCATCTATTACCTCTACCGTACCAGTCGGCATCGTCATAGGACTACCCAGCCCCTCTACAGCACAATTTAGTCCCCATTCCACGGAATACAGTTCCATCAATGATGGACCCAAGCTATATTAAAATGTATAAAATATTAAACTCATATACCTTTGTAGGGGCATCATCTTTTAAAGAGACTTAGTACTAGTTAGCTAAGACAGAGAAGGCCTTTGCGACTCTTGGGGTGATTCCTGAATAAAATGTCGTACTTACCACCTACATGTTTGTGAGAGAGGTAGGTCACTAGTGGCAACTCAAGCAGGCCATTCTACCCATTCCAGTCACTTGGGAAAAGTTCTTAATGGCCTTCAATGCAGATTACCTCCCATAGCACCTCTAGCATTTGAAGAAAATGGAGTTTGCACACCTACTCCATGGTGATATGACTGTGTCAGAGCATGCCCAAAGGTTCCTAGAGTTGGGCTGGTATTCTCCTAAGAGCATGATAGATAAAGGCAAGAATACAAAAAGTTCGAGTGGGGCCTCCATCTTAAGATCAAACAACAGTGGTACGTATTTGAGCTCAGCAGCTACTCAGTTGTTTTGGCCAAGGTACAACTAGTAGAGAGAAACCTTCACATTTTTCCTTCAGCAGTGGAGAATCTTAGATCCTCAGTTTCACACTATAGATCAGCACCCACTATACCAGTTTAACATAACAAGAGGCCTAGGCCAGTGACTCAGACTCTTTTTTAGGCTCTAGTAACAGGATGCGGTAGGACTTGCCAGTAATGTAACAAGGATCATGGGGACTGACATTGCTATCGTCTCAACAATACATGCCGCATATGTGGGAGTGCCTCACACTATACGAGAGCGTACCTGCGAACTCAGAATCAGGTCAGACCTCCTATCCAAGGTAGAGCTTACAACCTCACTCAGCAGGATGCTGAAACTAACTCGGACGTGATACAAGATATGTACACTATCTAT